TAATCCTGGCACAATCTTCCCAGGTGAGTCAATGGCTGTGTGCTCCCCACACCCTGGAGTCCTTCCAAGGCCTCTTCCGGGTTCCCCTAAGCTGGCCCAGATTCTCAGGAACCCATGAGAGTTAGGTGTCGAGAGGCTAGCCCTCATTCAAAGGGTCCAGGAGTGTAGAGGGCACAGCAGAACCTGCTGGGCTCCAGGAGAGAGAGACCGAGCGCAGGTAGGACTTAACAGCTTGGAAGAGAACAGGAGCCGTAGCTGGAATGCTTTGGTGCCACCTAATGACTTCATGCGAGCCAGGGTAAAGAAATGAGACCCCAGAGTTGAGGGACTACCATAAAGCCAAGTCTTGGGAGATGGAAAAGTATTCCTCCAAGGGTCTGGGACCAAAGACAGAGGATAGCTGGACTTCCAGCTCAAGGAGCAAGGGATCCCCTAGGTCCCTCTGCATCACACACATGCACACACACAAGCTAACTCGGACTCTCCCTGTCTGGATGTTTCCCCTCAGGGTGGGATCTTCTGACACCCTGTCCGACAGAACATGGTCGGGGGGAGGGTAGGAGTAGAGCAATAAAGAGCCCACAGGAATAACCAGTAGCTGTTTCCAGAAGGTCATGGCAGTTCGGGAGAAGTCTCCCTCCAAAGTGGGGCTCTCTTCCCTTCCGACATTCCTCTCTGTAACTGAGTGCCCAGCATAACCCACTGCAATTCGGTGAGCCCACATATTTACTGATGCCAGGAACAGGGCCTAGGAACCCAGAGCCGTAGGCTCCAAGGCCGGAGGTTTCCTGTAGTAGGTCACTACTCCTTTTGAACAGTTTCTTCTTCAGGAAAACTAGAATTAGGAAATACTTCAGGGCAGAGCTTAGGAAAGCATACATCCTGGGGCCCTTGGCTAGCTCAGTTGGTAGAGCATCCAACTCTTGATCTTGGGGTTGTGAGTTCAAGCCCCGCGTCTGGGGTAGAGATTACAAGAAAAGAAGAGAAGAGAAGAAAAGAGAAGAGAGGAGAAGAGAAAAGAGAAAAGAACACATCTTGATCTTATAAAAACCCATTCGGTAGTATAATACCACCATGGTGATATTTTCTGAGTTAGGGTTAAAACGGAGTCTGTTCTCAAAGAGTATTTTACTCCTTGAGAATATGAAAGGATGAAAACAAAAAGCACAGAGAAGATGGGCACGCAACACAGATGACATTAGTGGTACAAATAGTGAGGGGGTAGGCAGAACAGATAAAGAGCTTATTACATCATGAGGATGGGTTATTAAGAGGGTTTTAGGTTTCCCCTATACTCTTGGGAGCAAATCTTTCTAGTTTTGTAAATAGGAGACCATGAGGGACAGAATAATTGTGGAGAGAAGGAGATGCCCCTGGTGACAACATCCAGAACAAGACTAAGTTGTGGCCTTTTCCATGCCGCTCCTCCTGCCGTCACCAGTCAGAGGCTGACATGTGAGGCTCCTGCTCATCTCCCACCAGACCAGGGTGAGGAGCGGAGGTAAGGGCTGGGGGAAAATGGGAGGTTTCAATGAATAGGAAGGCAAGAAACGGGAGTTCAAATGTACCACCAGATAAAATTAAGAAGCAGTAAGGGCTGAGTATTCAGGAGACTTGACCATCCCTCCTTCCCCCAGGTGCTCCCTGTAGGTGAAGTGCGTCAGACCCGGGGAAGGACGTTGGTCTGACAGGGACAGATTCTTTCCTGGCCTGGAGCACAGGAGCACTGGTCTCTCTCTTTGTTACATTACACTCTAGACCAGGGTGAGCTCCTCCGGGTTCAATGGGAAGATGGAGACCAGAAGCTCCCTTTTCCCTTCTCAATAACTTTTCTAGCCTTTGGAAACACTCCTTGATTTGGGAGACCAGCTGACCCGTGACGGAGTGAATGACCCTGGTGGGATTTTTTCCAAGGGGGCGGCTGGGGCGCTGCCCTCAAGGCTGCTGGGAAAGCCCTCAGTCAGGCCTGACTGAAGGAGGTGCTGCCCAGCTGGAGTGCTAAGGGATGAAGATTTCTCTTCCAGCCAAGAGCTTGCCTGTCCCAGCTGACTGTGGGGGCAGGGGAGCCGGGCAGCAAGGCCAAGTAGGCCTTGCAGCCTAGGTGGCGCTATTTCCCTATTTTTAGGTCAAGCGGCTGCACGAACTTCCTCGAGGTCCCTAGTCCTGCTCCTGGTTTGCTGGCTTGCTCATGTAAACCACCTTATATTATTTTTTTTTCTAAAAATACTCCAAAGCAATTGAAAGAGTCCCTTCTCCCACCAGCCAGCCCTGGCCCCAGCCCCGGCCCCGGGGAGCGGGCGGGTAGGCGGGGAGGTGGGCCACTGCTTTATTAAACACAGGGAAAACTAATATTTACGGAATAAAATTTATGGAGCAGCCACGAGAATTCGACCCTTTTATGTGCATGTGGGGTGGGGGTTGGGCCAGGCTGGGGGCCTCAGGGAGGGGCCCAAGCCAGGGGGCAGGGCTGGAATACAGCCTGGCTAGGCCAATTTGTCGAGGCAGGGATTTCCCTGGAGTTGCCCCAGGATTCTCAACCACCACCCGCAGCTCTGAGGGGCAAGAATACCCACCCAAGGCTGAGCCTCCAGGAGCAATGTTTCTCTAAGGATGTGTTTAGGCAAATCCCCACGGAGGTAGCAACCTTTGGGGTAAAGGGGGCGGTGTCAGGGAAATCACTAGGCATGTTCTTACTTAACCTTTTAAAAAAAGTCACGCATTCTTTTGAGAACACGAAAATGTTATGCTCTTAGAATTTTACTCACAATTTTAGGGGATTCACAAACCTGAGCCCCCTCTGATTAAAAATGCATGCTCTTGGGGCACTTGGATGGCTTGGTTGGTTGAGCATCCAACACTTGATCTCGGGGTTGTGAGTTCAAGCCCCTCATTGGGCTCCACGCTGGGTGTGGAGCCTACTTAAAAAAAATTAAAAATTAGAAAAAAAATGCATGCTCTTGAAACCGTGGTTTTAGCACAGAGGGATTATCCAGGGTGAAGGATGCTTATTTCCTCCCTCAGCTGGCTGGGGAAGTCTTCCCATTTTTTATGCGGTCTCATACCTCATCCATGCCGAAATCTGTCTAAATTATGCCAAAAAGAAACTAGGGAAGAAAGCGAGCCACCTGATAGATTGTTTTTACATAGTCCTCAGTTCACTTCAACGACAGTCCGGACAGTGGGGCGCATCTTGGGGTGCTGCGGTCTGGAGGCAGAGTTATCGGTGGTGACTTAGAATGAGCCCTGGGGGAACTCTCAGACTCTGCCGGTCGGTGAAAGCACAGGGGTCCTGGAGTCCTGAGAGGCTCTGCTGTGAGGAGCCAGTAGGAACCAGAAGATCCTGCTGAAAGGAGGCAGGTGCATAGGAGAAGGATGGTTCCAGCGCAAGACAGGAAAGAAGCCCTAACACCCTTCCCGGAGAATGTCTGTCAGTCATATATACACAAATGCAGTCAAGAACTCAGAAGTCTGGGTTTAAATGCTGGCTGTTACTTATTAGCTGTGTGACCTTTGATAAGTCACTTGATCACTTCAAGACTCTATTTCCAAGCAGGTGAACAGTATCTTCCTCCTCTGATGCTGAGAGGATTCAGTGTCAGGCACTTATCAGAGCGCCTGGTGTATATTAACCGCTGAGTAACTGTTAGCTGCTTATTATTACTGCTGTTCTTCTTATAATCATTATTATTTTATTATCGCTTGGGTTGTCCTCTCCCCATGACCTGACCTAAGGACAGAAACACCCGTCCCAGACAGAGAAGGCGTGGGGATGAAGAGGCATTTGACCATTGTAAGTAAATAAACCAGGAGAGGCCTCTGTGGGTTCTGCCCTGACTCCTTCCTCCACCTGACAGCTCCCAGGGAACATCTGAGCTCAACTTTCCTTCCTGTCTCTCCAAAGTAATGTTTCAGATGGTCTGACCTGTCGAGGAAAACCTAGCAGGAAAGGCCAAGGGACTTTGCCAGTCCTGGTCTGCTAAATCCTGCCAGATCTGCCTGAAGAGTTGACTTTCTAACGAAGATGCCACCTATCTCATACAAACTTTGTCTTTTTTCCTGCTAAGGCCAATTCTGTTGTCTCAGAGAACTCTGTGGCCGTTCCTGCTCCCTGCTGGCCTGCCTTTTCAAGTTCTTCTAGTTGCCATGTTATCTGAAGTGGCATGAAGGATGGGAGAATAAAATCCCTTTCTCTCCCACTCCAGTGGGAAACTACCTCAGCCCTTGTGCTCAGAGCTCTTTATAATTTCAATCCCAGATTGTGGTTTAGTCTGTTGTCTATGCCTTGGAAACAGACAAAAAAACAAAAAACAAAAAAACACCCTACATGACGTTGGGCAGAGGAGAGCAGCAGTGATCTGTGCTGTGTTGTGCCCGCCACGGAGAGAGTTCTCGAGACCAAAGTTCCCAAATGGAGGCTTAGCGCAGGCCACAACGAGAGAAGCATGAGAAGAATCTGAAGGAGCAGACTGAGGGCCTAAACTTCATCTAGAGACAACAATGGGTGGGGCCCAGTAAAGTGAAAGAGCTTGGTTATATGTTCCACAGAATAAGCAATCTCGAAAGCAGGGGAGTGTGAGTGCTTTTTATTCCGGGCTTAGGAGAGAAGTGGGTCTCTGAGGAGCTACGGACTCTTGAGAAAGATGGACAAGGCTTCCTGAGCAACGTTGTGCCTTTTTTGCTGACTTGTCCTCTGCACATAAAGTCCATGGTAGGATCCTGGGTCTGGGGAACCTCCAACAAAAGAGAGGAAGGTATGGGATTCTCAGAAGCTGGCTTCCACTCGGCTAGGGAAGGCCAATGCCCAGCGGATGGGAGCCCAGATTCCCTGGGTTAACAGTACCCATGCCTGTCCGTGTGAATTTCTGTTACTTCAGTCTTGCTGTGGGGCCTCTGACTATGTAACCCCGCGCTGGGGATACTGTTGCTACAGGAGCTCCTCTCAAGGTGACACGAGGAAACTATTCTCCAAGCCCATTCTCCGCAGTCGGGACAGGGACAGGTTAACTGAAGAGCCCCCTTAGCTTCTTCCTCTTGACCTTTGACAGCTGAGGTCTGTGCATAGGGCCTGAAGTACCCTAGAATGAAAAGGAACCCGAGTTAATAGAGGTGTTTGAACAGATCCATTTAAGTCAGGAGAGGAACTTCCTTGCTCCCACGGCCCTGGTGGGGATGAGGGGCTGACACAGGTGTTTTGAAGTCTCTGCCAGGCAGTGAATGTGACACAAGACTTTATGCCATGCGTACATCCCTTCTCCCCTAAGGAACAACCTCACAGACCATCACTGGAAGTGGCATAAGGAAGAAAAGGAGTCACGGTCCTTCACTTAGTACAGGGAAGATGCAAAAGACCATGACTCCCCTATCTAGAAATCCGTCATCTGGCGGCCTGCTCACAAATATCCTCCAACATTAAGGCAGCACCTCCACTAAGCAACAACTCCAAGGACCTCTGGTTCAGGGGCTGCAGGTGCGTGACTCACTGGGGGTTCTTTCTCGGGCACTGGGAGGGATGGTGCTGGTTCTTCCGGCTGGTTCAGAAGTTGGTTTTCGGTCCCTTGTGGGGAGGCACTGCTTGAGGGCTGAGGATCTCCTGAAATCAGAAAGATCAAGGGAAGACAGTGATAAATGCCTTCTTACCAGGGAGGCAGTAGCATTTAGCAAGCATTCTGAGCAAGGCCAGGGTTTAGTACTAATATATAAACAGACGGAAGTAGCTATAAATCCAACTTCCAGCTGACTCTCGGAAAGCCCCGTTTCTACTCTGAAGATTCCCCACTTCCACTAGGTAGGAGAGGAGTTTCTTTGACTCAAAACAGCCAACTGCTCCTCAACAGACAGGTAGAGAGATGAGTCTTTCTTCTGGTCCTCTCAGTAATTCTCCTAAGCACCTAGACCAGTTCCAGTGGAAGTTTCTGCAATGACGGAAATGTTCTGCATCTGCACTGTCCAACTTGGTAGCCGCCGGCCACGTGTGGCTACCGAGCAGTTCAAGTGTGGCTACAGCAAATGAGGAGAGGTATTTTTCATTTTGTTTCAATCGTATTTAATTTAAATAGTCACAAGGGGCGAGAGCTACCATATTGGATGGCACAACCCTACACTGTAACTCTAACCCCAGGGAGACCAAGTACCTTTAGAGCTACTCACCAGTGCCCTGATGCTTCTGTCTCCCTTGGATCTCTTGTCTGGTGACTGCCATATACAGACTCTGTAAATTCATGACAAAGGGCCTTCCATCACCTACACTGCATGCCTCTGGTAGTTTCTATAGGGGAGCGGAGATGCGGTCATTGGTTATACTATATCACCAGAGAAAAGGAGTTTGATATCCCACTGGCAGAAGTGTCATTGACCCCAAAAGAATTTATATAGAGAAGTTCGATTCAACATAGGACGTCCATATCATACCTTGTTGGGAACAGTATAAAGACCTCCCCTGAGGTCTTCTCTCATAGGCAACTCCAAATGTCTATCTTTAATTCCCCCAATACCTATTATGTTTTCCCATGAATACCCCTGGGGTATTCACCCAAGAGTCTCTAGGCTCATTCTTCCAAAGGGATGACCTCTGAGAGGGCTGTTTTAGGAAATCATCTTTCCTAAATTGTCCCTGAGCTGTACAGATCACTGGATTACTTACATTCACTCCTAAAGTTCCACACTAGAGAGAAAAGGGATGAAATGCAGGAAAAGGGAGAACAGGCAAAATGGGAATGACAGACTGAGAGACAAGGCTAAGTTATGGAGCTACGGTGTTCAGTCGGAGGAGATCGGGTGACTACAGTGTGCAAAGCTTTGGAGGCTTCCCTGCCATTTTACATTGCTTTACTGCAATCCATGAACCCACAAATGGGGGCAACCATTCTCCCAAGAGGGGGGAAAACTGGTTCTTGAGGGGTGAAAAAAACTTACTCTTTTAAAGTATGAAACATCTACATACAGTACACAAACAGAATTTTGCTCTATCTGTGGTATTAAAATTTCCCGAGGGGGAGTGATTAGGAAAAAGTGTCTTAGAAAGGCTCCTGAGCAAGGTGATGATGGGGAGAAAGTTGAGAAATGCAGCTACCATCACACTCTATGTACCTGTTTCCTTCGCTGTGAATGAACTGTGGATTTATATCCACAGGAAAATGCTTTGCCTAGTTCAAGTTTCAGGCATTTGGCTTAACGGCTGTAGGCGGAAACAAGTGCAGTAAAAACGAAGATGAAGGCATATGATATCCCAGGGTCCCAAACCTGGCTGCGCTTCACAATTTTGGAAAGGACCCAGAGTTCCTTCACCTGTGCAGGCAAATCGTCATGGTTCCCAGGCAAGCTAGCAGGTCTCTAAGGGAAGCCATGCCACTAGCTCACAGGGCACCCACCCAAGAATCCTGGATGGACCCACAGCTCACGTCAAGGGCGCTTGCTCTGTGCTCTAAAGGCATTCGTTTCTGAAAACCCGCCGCGGGAGAAGGATGGAAGAGAGAACGCTGAACCACAGTCAGGACTCTCTCTCCCTGAGGATGGTGGGATCTGAAATACGTGTTGATCCCCAGGAAATGCAGCATCCATTCATACTGCAACCCTACCTCCGTAAAGTCTCTATCAGGCTTTCCCGGGAGACCACCGATAAAGTCAGAACTTGGCTTCTGGCCAGCAGTCACTACAGGAGTGAAAGGGCCCTGAGGAGCAAACTGAAAAGGGAAGGCAAACTCTCAGGCCATACACTTTGACCTCCCCTCACTCTCCTTAATTTCAGGTTCCCCAAGCCACATGCTCCGAAAACACGTCCTCTGCTCTCCAGCCAGACAGCCATGACAGTGGAGAGGCCAACAGCTGTTCTCCTTCCTCACCTCTCCTGTCTCCGGGGCCGCCCCTCAGACTGCTCACGAAGCGTGGCCTCTCTCGGGCTCCGGCACACAGGGCTTGCTAGGCCCTGCGCTGTCTGTGCAAACGGGCGGGGCGGAGTCTCAGTGGTTCCAGCCCCCCCCCCCCCCCGCCCCTTCTATGGAACCAGACAGACTCCTACATTTTTTAGGGCAATCTTTAGCCAACTCCTGTACTGAGTCTCACAGTGAAGGGGCAGAAATGAAAGGCCATAAAGCCAGTGCTGTCCCGTATCTTGGACCTTCCTCCATCCTTCCCTGTCTCTGAGAGATCTGGTCCTGCAGTTGTTGCCAAAAGTTATCCCACCTGAGTACTCTCGGAAAAGTACCAGAAAGAGAATATCGGAGGCTGCCTGGGCGGTTCAGTCGGTTAAGCGTCTGCCTTTGGTTCAGGTCAGGATCTCAGGATCCTGGGATCAAGCCCCATGTCCTGACTCCCCACTCAGCAGAGAATCTGCTTCTCTCCCTCTCTCTCCCTCTCTCTCTGGTAAATAAATAAAATTTTTAAAAAACAAAAGAAAGAGAATATTGGTACATTTGCTGTATATTTCCTATATGTTAGACACAGTTCTAAGAATTTAAATGTATTGATGCATTTTGTCTTATTCCCTGCTGTTTCCCTGGCACTTGGACTGTAGTCGGGCTCTATAACCACTTGTGAATGAATGAACATGGTCGGCACTGTATGACCCCATTTTACTGAGGTGGTTCCAGCTAGTAAACAGAGCAGGATTAGAATCCAGACAGGCTGACCTCAGGGCCGACGCATATAATGACTACCCTATTTACTTCTCTAAATAGCAGAATTTTAGTCCCAAGGGCCATACAGCCTTTCCCAGGATCACAACCATCTGTGCCTCCCATCACAGATCACTTGCCTCAATTCCCATCCAGCTCAAGAACAAGCTCCCTCAGGTGACAAGAGAGAAGTGAGCAGAGAATCTGGAGGTTCTACCTGAAAAGCTGGCCCCACCTGGAACCCTCAGGGGCTGAGGCCATCCCTCAATCCTAGTCCAGCCATTCCCATCATCACTGATTCCATACGCATTATCCTCACACTATGCAAGGAAAAGGAGGTGGAGCGGCCCGAGCTTGGGAAGGAGAAACATTAGCTCCCTGCGCAGGACAATGGCAGGAGAGAGCTGGGGCAGGCCGCCAAGATCAAAGGGAGAACAGCGGGGTCAGGACTAAGAAAAGCAAACAGCAGTGCCCCCCCTGCCATAAGTATGAAGGAGCCAGGAGCAAGGTGTACCAGCCACAAAGCGGGTCACTGCCCAGAGTGGGAAGGGGAAGAAGAGACAGGTTGGTCTACTGTGGAATGCGTTCATCTGATTAACCCAGAATCAATTCTAGGTAGCAAAAAGCTATTGAGATTCTACCATGTGTTAGGTACTACAGGACTGGGGCGAGGGAAAGAGATGCACCCTTCCCTCCTCAGAACGGGGCTGAGTTAGCCAAAGATAAATAAGTCAGAGTCCCTGCCTCAGGGAGTTTATATTCGGGTGTGAGGAACAGGCAGATTTCAGGTTTTTTTCCAAGTGTTATGCTATCACAGAGTTAGAAACAAAGGGTAATAACTGGAGAAGAAGAAAGGAAGGAATTCTGACCATCCAGCAAAAAGCCTGGGGCAGGATTGGGGGGTGGTGAGGGGATGGGGGTGACATAGGCCAGCCTTGCAAATGTGGGGAAGTATTTGAATCACAAAGGTGTGAAAAGACAGGATATGTTGATGTATCTCATGGGAAATAAGACCAGAAGACTAAATTCATACCTGCCAGATTGCTAAGGGCTTGGTGTTCTAAACTAAGGATATGCCCCTGGAAGTTTCCTTTTGTTTCACAAAGGGGCTTTCTCTACTACACCCGTGCTTGCCAAGGCTTGCTTGGCTCCGAATGACCATTGAATCAAGGGTGAGGGGTCAGAAGCATCCTCTGGGTTTGCCTTCATAGGGTTTCTGCTCCATTTCGTACCTCTTCACTAACTGTACTGCTAGACTGTGATTCTTCAGTAGGCAAAACAGAGCTACATTTCTCTCCTATCTCCAGTTCACTGGGACTTTGGCCCCTGCCGTCTGGCCATATCAGGAGCTTTAGGAAAACCAAAGCTACAGAAATCCTATAGGGCAGGGACGCCTGGGTGGCTCAGTCGGTTAAGCGTCTGCCTTCAGCTCAGGTCAGGATCCCAGGATCCTGGGATTGAGTCCCACATCGGGTTCCCGGCTCAGCGGGGAGCCTGCTTCTCCCTCTCTCTGCCTACCACTCTCCCTGCTTGTGTTCTCTCCCTCTCTCTCTCCCTGACAAATAACTAAATAAAATCTTTAAAAAAAAAAAAAATCCTATAGGGCATTTTATTTCCCCTTCTTTTCTTACTGCAGCCCATTTCTGTTCCTAGTGCCCAAATTCCCCCTCTTTAGTGGAGATGTGTCTGTAACTTCCATCACCACCATGAGGTCTCAAACTCACTCCCAGTGGTCCAGAAACTCCAAGGCTCCCTCCTGCTCACTGACCCCAGCAGGATCTGCTGGAGAGATCCCAATTGTTGCTTTCCATTAGAAATAAGAGGCTGGTGGAGCACCTGGATGGCTCAATCGGTTAAGTGTCTGCCCTCAGCCCAGGTCATGATCCCAGGGTCCTGGGAATGCATCCTGCATTGGGCTCCCCGCTCATCGGGGAAACTACTTCTCCCTCTGCCTCTGCCCCTGCTTATGCGTGCCCTCTCTCTCTCTCTCTCTCTCTCCCACTCGCTTTCTCACTCTCTCAAATAAATAAATAAATAAATAATCTTAAAAAAAAAAAGAAGAGGTCAGATTTCCAGCCCTACTCTCCGCCCCTCCCCCCGCCCAATTCCATCCCTCCTTTCCCTGAGGCTGTTTCAGAAGAGAAACCTTTAGAATTCTGAGTAAGGAAAGGCCGGACTCTGACGTACTGCTCACCCTACTCAATATGGGCCCACGGCCCAGGAGACAGGGGTAGGGGACAAAAGAGAGAGAGGAACCATGCAAACTGGAACTCCCCAGCATCAGCCTTGAGCAGGTCTTTGGGGCGGCCCCCAGCTGTCTTGGTAGCACATCCAGCCGGGCAAGGCCCTCAACACACAGCTTCCAGAGGGTAGGAGTTCCTCTCCTCCCTCCTGCAACCTGGTAAACTCTGTGGGTAGCACTCACCAACTCCCTGCCCTGGAGAGCTCAAGCCTCCCTTTAGGAAAAATCATGGCCATTTTCATCATTAGCTCCACGTAGGGTTAAGGGCACATTGGAAAATTCTTCTAAGGTCTCACGTTACCAAAGGATTACCAAAATAAATAGAGAAGGACAAGAAAAATGGTTTAGGACGAGGATTCTAAAGGGAAAGACTCTAACAAACAGAACTCCTCCCCAGTGCTCCTCTCCACCCTC